TCCCAGGATACTACTTCTCCTTCAGAGTTGAAAACCTATGTTCTCACAAAAATCTCTACACAAACATTTACAGCAGCTCTACCCATAATCACTGAAAATAGGAAACAACCCAATTTTTCTTCCAGTGGGTGAATGGATAAACCAGCTGCTGTGGTACATCCATTCAACAGACAACTACTCAACAATAAGAGGGGGTAGGGTATTGATAGGCACAGCAACTTGGATGAATCTCAAAGGCATTCAGCTGGGTAGAAGAAACCAGGCTCATAAGGCTACCCACTGTATGATTTATTGTATTCATATGACCTCAAAAAAGAGAGCAAAAGAGAGCATAGTGGTACAGAACAGAACAGGCGTTACCAGGAGTTACAGGCAGGGAGAGAAGGAAGGAGTTTCAGAGATAGTTCTGTCTCATGATTGTGATGATGGTTACATGAATTTACACACATGTTAAAATTGAGGGAGTGCTCATATCATGCCCAAAAAGAAAAAGTTAAGTTATTGTATGTTAAGAGTAAAAATGTGTAAAGATATATATCATTAGCATTGCTTTTCCTAGACAAGTGAAATCAGGGTGGAGTCCCTGGCTTGTGACCCCAGCCCTCCCTTGTGGCTCCTCACGAGCCAAGGAGCAGGTCCCAGGGCACTGTGGTACTGTTGCCAGCCATCCTCACCTCTCCTTCCCATCTCTGCTCATCTCCCCCTAAGTAGGGCCCTTCCCTAATTCTGAAGTCCTAACCAGTTTCCCTCCCACAGGCTTCCCATCAGCACCCTGCCCCAGGCTCCTCCAGAAGCTGGGAGCCAATTGCCTGTTCAAATCTTCTGCCCATTTTGGACAGCCCAAGATGGAGCTGCATCCGAGACTGACTGGCCTCACTGTTCTCATCCATGTGCCCCCAGGTCCCCTGTCGAATTCAACACCTCTGCATTCCTCAGGCTGTCCTGACCACCACCTGCCCATGCTTCCCTCCAGGCTGCCTTGCATGCAGCCCCTCCCTGCAGGCTTCCCTGATCACCGCACATGGCTGAACCCTTCCTGTGTGTGTTCCCTTGGCAAGTTGTTTAAACTTCTGGCCTAGCTCATATCATGTTGCACCTTGTGTAATAGCTCTTGAGGTGTGAATTGCATCTCTCCCTTTACACTCTCATCTCCTTTTAGCTGGGAACTTTCGGTTGATGTTTTTCTGTGGTATCCTTCCTGAACAAACACCTTTATCCCATTAGCAAGCAATGCCATTTTTCTGTAGAGCATGTTTCGTTTCTGTGCAATAAACTCAAGCAGCCAGAATTGGTGGCTCTCAGTTCTGTGCTCCCAGAACCCTGGTGCATAGCTCTATAACAGATACCTTTACAATGGTTTTGGAGGGAGTTGTGGGAGGAGGTATGAGAGCACAGTACTTCACAGCACCGGCATCCAAGCCAGCCAGTCCACCATGTCCTAGCCATGTAACATCAGCATTGTACAGCCTCTTAGTGCCTCAGTTACTTCATCTGTGAAAGGGGAATGATAACAGTACCTACCTTAAAGGGCCATTGTGAGGATTAAAATAAATATATAGAGAAAGCATTTAAAATAGTGCCTATTGCATAGCAAGTGCCCAACAGATGTTATTTATGTCTCCTGTGGAACACCAGAAAAGAGAACCTAGGGCTCTTTGAGCGCTGCATTCAAATCAAAGGATGAGGCTTGTATCAATGTATATTTAAAATGCACACACCTACTCCTACACCTTCCATTCCTCCCAGCCCTCCCTTCTCCCTTTTTCTTTCCCTCTTTCTCTCAAACTCAACAAGACAATAAACTGATTGAAGAGTGGGCAGAAGATTTGAATAGATACTTCACAAAAGAAAGAGCATTAAGCATATGAAAAAGATGTTCAACATCACTAGTCATCAGGAAAGTGCAAATTAAAACCACAAAGAGATAACACAACAATGGCTAACGTGAAAAAAAAAATGGACAAGACCAAGAGTTGACAAGGATGTGGAGCCACAGGACCGTTGCTGGTAGCCATGCAAACACAGTACAGCCACATACATTTATCACATGACTCTGAAATTTCATGCTTATGTAGTTAACCCAAGAGAAATGAATGCCCACATCTACAGGAGGGCATGGATGTGGATATTCAGAAGAGCATTATTCCTAATACCTCTAAACTGGAAACAACCCAGTGGAACTCCAGTCAGCAGTCAAAAGGAATGAAACATTAATATATGCAGCAATGTAGATGAATCTCAAAAACTTTATGCCAAATGAAAGTCAAAGACTATATGTTATCTGATCCCATTTATATAAAATCCTAAAAAAGGCAAAAGTAAAGTGACAGCACATCAGGGGTTTCCTGTGACTAGTGTTGAGGGAGATCAAACCTTTTAGGGTGAGGGAAATGTTCTCTATATGCGTTTTGGTGGTGGTGATACAATTACCCAAATTCACCAAACTATGCATTTAAATTGCACTTATTTTACATATATTACTTATATGAAAGTAATACCTTAAAAGGAGAAACAAACCCAAAGACTGTGGTTAAGCATCTTCCAGCTTGGCCTACAGTCTTACGTGTGGTGGTCTCGGGGCCTGCTCAGCATACTTCCTTATTGGAAATAAGGTCATTCAATGCTTGTTTTCTTTCTCTTGCCTCAGAGCTGCAGATCCAGCTGACATTGACCAATTTCCAGTGGGCCTCAGAGTGAGTCCCAGGCAGAGGCTGACAGAAACAAGCTTGTATTTCTGTCACTAATGATATAAGCCTTCATCGTATTCTCTGCCAGGCCGTGTCCACCATTATTATACCCATTGAAGAAGAGAACAGAGTAATAATGAGCTGCGTGTTATCAGCTCACAAATAATTTATGATGGGCAAACTAGGACAGAAGCAGAGCTTTTTTTGGCTAAGGAGGTTGCATGTCACTCTTTAAAATCTAGGCCAAAAAATTATTTATAATGCATAGACAGTCACTCAGAAACTTAAAAGGTTCCTTTCTTCCCTCCATGTGTTTGAACACTACACTTTCACCCTGGACTGGCAAAAAAGCACCTCAGAGGCTTCCTGCTACACCTGGAGTCAGTCTGCCACTCTGCAAGTTCATATATGAGGATGCTCACTCGGCTATGAACCTCTCTAGAAACCCCGTAAGGATTTCAGGGCCTCCCCAGAGCCCACAAAGGCTAGGAATGAGGGAAAAGTCAGGAAAAGGAAGAGACCCATAGGTGTGGGCAGTGGCCATGCACTTCAGGTGAGCATTGATGAATTGCCTCGGGTGTTGTCGGGAAAGAGCCCAAACTGAGATACAGTTAGCAAAAGGTGGCTTGTTAAAGGGGTGTGCTGAAGTAAAGATGGGTGGTGTGTATTAGGCAGGGCAAACAGTGGCCATCGGCATCCAGGGAAAGGATATTGGGATGTATCCCCATTTCTAAGGTCTGTTTGGGGAAGCAGAATCTTTACTGACTCTGATGCTGTCAGTACTGATGCCTGCCCCATGGGAGGGAATCCCTCTGGTGGGCACTTGCTGAGTGGTCACAGGCCACCTGCACCCTGTGCTGACCACACCTCGGCCAGTAGCCTCAGGAGAAGTGGTCAGCCCCCTGGCCCTCTGAGTGCTGAGAGCAGCAGATGGACCCTGTCTGTGAGGCCCTGGGACTGTGGCCCCTGCACTCTTGGTGAACAGACCTTGTGAAACAAGCCTGTCCCAGGTGGGTCAGCTTTCCCAGCCCTGGAGCACCTTGAACAGCTGACCGCTGATGAGGAGTTGAGAGCCAGCCCCCAGGCCTGTGGCTTGTCCTTAAGGATCAAGGCCTCTGGAATGGTGCTGCCTCCCCAGGGTGAGCGCAGGCTTCCTGTGTGGCATGTTCCATGTTTGCTGTCCAGTTAGAGTGGCCCCCATAACTGGAATTTCCTGTTCAAATTCTGGGAGGTCCTCGGGCTCCTCAGAGACTGCCAGTGGCTCGGGGAGGTCCCCTTCTCTCAAGCTGAGCAGCTCCGTTTTGGTCTTCATAGGTGTACAGTATCGCATGTCATTTTTTAAAGCAGGCTTTATTTTTTAGAGCAGCTGTAGGTTCACAGAAGCATAGAGCAGAAAGTAAGGATAAGGATATTGCCCATATGCCCCTGTTCCTACCAAGGGGCAGCCTCCCCCGTCACCAGCTCCCCGACCAGAGCAGTGCATTGGCTACAACTGATGAGCCTGCATTGAATAATCAGTATCATCTAAAGTAGTACATAAATTCACTGTTGTCATCTAAAGTCTGTAGTTGCCACTGGGGTTCACCCGGTTCACATTTTATGGGTTTGGAAGACATAGAATGGCATGTATCCACCATTGTATTGCACAGTGGTTTCACTGCTCTAAAAACCCTCTGTACTCTGCTTAGTCATGCCTCCCCACCTCAACCTCTGGAAGCCACGACCTTTTCACTGTCCATAGTTTTGTCTTTTCCAGAACGCCACAGAGTTGAAATCACACAATATGTAGCCTTTTCAGATTGGCATCTTCCACTTAGTAATATACATTTAGGATTCCTCCATGTCACCTTCAAAAGAGCTCAGCCACTCTTCGCTGCCTGACAGCCACAAGCAGTCGCTGTCACACTGGCCCTCGGTGCAGCGTGGCTGGCAAACGATTTGATGTGGGAGGTGCCTTGTTGCCCCTACAGGGTGATGAGCTCTGGGGCCGTGGCCAGGACGTATGCTCTCTGAAGGTGATAACTCTGTGAGGTCAGAGGGAACAGCATCTGGTGACTGAGCTAATCTGTGTGATATTTTGCATCTGAGTCAGAACCTACTTACTAATGCTGTCTCTCTTCATGGCCAAGAGTCTATCAAAACATTTTTCTGTCCTCATTACTCAGCTGTGAAATGTGGCGAATGTTACTTTGCCTGAAAGAGTTTTGATAAGATAATCACAACAGAACGTTCTCTGACAGAAAGTATCTCTATTTCATAACAAAGCCTTAGGAGGTGGAATGTTCTGGTAACCTGTGTGTCTCATGTTTACAGAGCTTCTCGCAACAAGTCTGAGAAGAAACGTCGGGACCAGTTCAATGTTCTCATTAAAGAGCTCAGCTCCATGCTCCCTGGCAACACTCGGAAAATGGACAAAACCACCGTGCTGGAAAAGGTCATCGGTTTTCTGCAGAAACACAATGGTAAAGGTTGCACTTCTCTCTGTTTTTGTTCCGTTCCTGCTCTTTGACTAGGCGATGACTTCACCAAGCTGGTCTTCCTGCTCGGTCCTCTCTGCCCAGCAAAGCCTGCTCTCATCTGTCACAGCTTCCTCTTTCAGAGGCCCTCCACCCTCTGTAATAGCCCCTCTCCTGCAGGTTGGGAGGGGACAGACTGCTTTATTAGCCATGTTTGAGAATCCAGAGCAGCCTCCCAGGTGGCACCCAGTCCCCATGGAGTGGCATTAATAGCGGGAGCATCTTGGTTATAAAAATATCTAGAGCAAGCATTTTCCATTCAGCCCTGAAGAGGTACACTGCCCAAGTGTCCATTCTCCCCTGGAGCAGACAGCACTGGGTTCCCAACCATCTCAGCTATCATGTCTAAACTCTTTGGCCTTCTGAGTTATGCCATGAAAAACAACAGACTGAAGATCATTCATTAATCATTAATTGAGGTGTAATGCACATATCATAAAATTCACCATATTGAAGTTTCCAATTTAGTGGTTTTAGTGTGTTCACAAGCATGTGCAACCACTGAATCTATTTTCTGTCTCTGTGGATTTGCCTATTCTGGGCACCTTATACAAATGAGATCACACGATATGTGTATTTTGGCTTCTTTCATAAGCGTCCATATTAGCATACAAATAAATATCATTTCATTCTATTTGGCCAAATAACATCTCATTGTATTGGATATACCATATTTCACTTATCCTTTGATCAGTTGGTGGCTATTTGGGTTATTTCTATTTGTTGGGTATAAGTAATAATGATGCTATGAACATTCATGTATGTGTCTTTGTGTGGATGTATGTTTTCAGTTCTCTTGGATATATACCCACGGCTTCTTATAGCCTTCCTACTGGGTATGAAGCAGTATCTCATTGTGGTTTTGATTTACATTTCCCTAATGATTAATTATGTTGGGCTTCTCATGATCTTTTCCTATGCTTACTGGCTGTGTGTACATCTTCTTTAGAGAAATGTCTATTCAAATCCTTTGCCCACTTTTAATGGGATTATTTATCTTTTGCTGTTGAGTGGTAAGAGTTCATGTATTCTAGATACTAGACCCTTATCAGATGTATAATTTGAAAATATTTTCCCCCATTCTGTGGATTGTATTTTCACTTTCTTACTGATGTCCTTCAACATGCACAAGTTTTTAAGTTTGTTGACATCCAGTTTATGTTTTTTGTTGTTACTCATTGCTTGTGCCTTAGGTATCGTATCTAAGAAACTGTTGTGCAAGAAAAGGTCACGGAGGTTTACATCTCCATTTCTTCCAAGGATTTTGTAGTTTTAAGCTACAGACTAAGCATTTGGAGATGAGAATACGTTGAATACTTAGATATTTGATTCACTTTGATTTACTTTTTGTATATGAAGTGGGTAGGGAGTCAAAATTTATCCGTTTGGATGCAGATATCCAGTTATCCCAGCATGCCATTCTTTCTTTTTAAGCTTTTTAATACTCTATGAAAGTATAACACACATACAGAAAACACACACATCATAACTATACAGATAGATTAATAATCACAAAATGAACACAGCCAGGAAACCAACAACCAGGTCAAAAAATAGAAGCTCCCTCAATAGATAGATGTCCCTTCCTTTTTGTCGACCCCTGTTTTCTCCAAAGGTCACACTTCTTCTGATCTCTAATACCAGAGATTGGTTTTGCCTGTTGGGGCCTCATTCAGATGGAATCATGTGTTATGAGTGTAGTATTTGTGAGATTCATCTGTGTTCTTTCAGTGCGGTGGCTAGTTGGTTTTTGTTGGTATATAATATTTCATTATATGAATTCACCACTTGAATCCATCCTTGAACTTAAGTCTCTGTCAAATCGTCCTCTCTCCCTTTTACTTTCCTTCAGACCCTTTTACCTCTTAACACTGACCACCTGCCCTGCCACTCCCCTGTAGGTGGTACAAAAAAATTGGGCAGTAGTTGCAAGCGTCCATTAGGTACTAACAAGCAAGAAGAGCCAAATTCTTTTTTCCTTCCTTATTTTTCCTATGCCACCAGGCATAATAAAATCAGAAATGTCAGATTGTTGAGGAGATAATGACAGTTCCATGCTTGTGGTGGTGTTTCCCTTTCACTGACCATTGTCCTAGGCGAGAGGATTTCATAGAAGAGGGCAAAGCCAGGACCTCAGAAAGTTTCATTAGACTTGTTATTCTTTTAGTATTTCTTTAATAATTGTATATACCTACCAAAAATAGGACAATAATGATATATCCTCCTCATTTTTTCCAAAGCTGCCCTTAGTAAAGAACATGTTAATTGCTTTTGTTACAAGTGAGGGAAGAACAATCAACCAGGATTGGTATAAAGTGTTGCGGCAAAATTCAATTGCCCCAATAATTTAATCAGAATGTTTATATTTCCTAAATAATGACTTAGCCAAGTGAAATAGCAGGTTGGTTTGATTACCAAGATATTTTGTACAGATTACTCAAAGTAGGTCAGTGTCACTGAGAAGCAGGACAGCTGTTAACTAGGGCAGCTAGGATCAAGTTCATCAATGTGACATTTATGCTGGGTTCTGTCCACTGCAGAATTACAGAATTGTCAAATCTGGGGCCCGGAAAGGATCAGTCAGCAGAAATGCAGTGTCTTAACACTGGGAACGCCTGTCTCCACCTCACCTTTTTCGTAAGACTAAGGCCTACCCTGCACAGCCCGCTCAGATGCAGCCAGGATCACTTCAGGTTCTCACTCAGCATCTGAGATTGCATAGTCAAAATAAAGCAGAAAATCCATGGCAGAGTTTATGGAGAAATACAGTGGTTGGAAAAAACTGTGGATTAAACCAAAAACAAAAACAAATAATAACTTTTTACTTATACTCCAAATGGACATAAAGTCTACAGACACCTATCTGCCAGGAGGCAGAGAACAACATGGTCAGCATTGACTCAGGGCTCACCATGAGCCAGGCAGGCATTGTTCTGAGGACTGTGTATAGTAATGCAGCTGAGCTTCACAGCTGGGCTTTGGCTTGGTGCCATTTCACAGATGAGGCAATGGAGCCTCAGAGATGGTTGGCCACTCACCCAAGTCAGCCAGCCAGGAAAGTGCAGCATCCATACCAAGTAGTCTGTCTTCAGAACCCAAGTTTTACAACATTCTTATTCCCCACAAGTGGTGATTTATGGGACACTTACAGATATTTGTGTCATAACTGTGCTAGAGCTGTTCCTTAGTATGGCCATTCAGACTACTGGTTCCCCATCTTGGCTTTCCATTAGAATCTCCTGGGGAACAATCTCCTGGGGAGCGCATATAACTGGGTCACCTCACAGACCAGTACATCAGAATGGCCAGGGGTGGAACCCTAGTGGTGAGCTGGAGCTGCTCATACCAGCTTGCAAAAGATGACTATTAAATTTTCAGCAGTCTTGCAAGCCAGGTGATGTCAAGTTGACAAGCAAAAATCAGCCACCGTGGGATTATTTATACTACAGAAATGAGCAAGCACAGCAAAATCAGGGCTTTGTGTCATAGAGCCGGAGAGCCTTGCACCAGCACGCCACCGAGGGAAGCCCAGCATGCATATTTCTAAAGTCCCCCAGCCGATACCTGTGTAGAGCCAGGGTTCAGAACGGTGGGTTCAGACATGCTTTCTGTTTTTGTGCTGGATGAAACCACATGACAAGAAGAGACGATTCGGTCCAGACGGTTGTTACAATTATTTAGCTCTTTCCTGAAAAGTCATACATTCCTGTTTGCTCAGCTTGGGAGATAAGTCTTGATCCTGAAAGGCATACTTAGTCTTTTTGAAGTAATTCAGATCAAAATGGGAATCTCACCATCTCTCTTTGTGGAAAAATTTTATGTCATCAATATTGATTATAAGAGAGAAATCCCTAAATTATGCGAATAGCAAGGTGTATTAGACATCTTATCCACACCCACTGAAATGTTACTTCTGCAGAGTCTGGCTGAACTGCACACTTTCCTCTTCCTCTGTGAGTCTCCAGCTGATTTAACGTCCTTTACTCCCAGCATCAAATCCCATCCCTTGTTCACGCCTCTTCAATTTGTCTACCTTAGTGGATGGGGTTGGGGGTTAGAAAAGGCTGCAGAAAAAGGAGAAATAGCTGGACACACTAATATTTACCCACCCAGCAAAGAGTTTATGCCCCATTTCCCAGAGTTTTCTTTGACCACATATGGCCAAAGCCATTCTACTCCTTGTTCACACATACCAGGAGCAGCTGGGAGGTGAGCATTCTAGGACACAACTACAACTTTAAACTGCAGTAGAATTGGGGGGTTCGGTTGTTTGTTGCAGTGTCTTCCCGCAAAAATTGTTCCCAGGAGGTTTTGCTTCCCTTGCTGTTTAGAAACCACTTTGACCACACCTCTTTACTAATCCTGCCCTGTCTCTTATAGCTTATGATATAGGTCACCTCAAATGCCAGTGGAGACATGATTATAACACTGAATGTGATTTCCCAGTTTAACATTTTTTTACTTGCTTTGAGACATTTTATCCAACTTCTATATTTTTTTAATTGTTGGGAATTGAACCTTAACTTCCAAGGACTATAATCAAATTGTTGAAGTACAAGGTGAATAGCTGCTTCCAGTATTATTATGTTGCTGTCTAGAAAGTATCCAGTTACTTGTGTAAAAAAATGAGCTACAAGTTACTCTTGGAAAAGAAAGGAGTCTTTCATTCTCCTCTACCATTAAGGTGAATGGGCCTACATCTAAATCAAATGTGGATTGCTGGAAAGACTCTTCTCCTGGACATTTAATCAACAGTTTGATCCTAATGTCAAAAGAATTTTTCAGATGAGTTTATGTGTTGGGAAAAGGAAGGGGGCGGAACGTTTATGGGATTAATTTATTAGTATATCCTCTATTGATCTCTTTTCCAAGGAGTCAAACTGTGGCAGCCAGTTGTTTGAGGAACTGGGCATTGTGCTCTCTCTTCCCTGCCTGGGCTGGCACCCTGAGTGAACACTGGCCCAGAACTGTGGGCAGTGCTCTGCCTCTGCCTCCCAGAATGCATTTCACCTTGGGCAGCCTCTGGCCGCTGTGGTGGCAACAGCTTGTCCTTTCCGAGATCTCCAAGGAAGAACCTATAGAACAGAGCATTGCAGGGAATCTTGCGTGATTGAACACATGAGCAGTGCAGAGTCATGTGTACCTCAGTCCTTGACATCATCTTCACTCACTGTAACCACTGAATTCATTCGAATTCGTTCACCTAAGTGAACGCATTCTCCACACTCCATGTAAGACAGCCTGCCAACAAGACAGGTGCAAAGCAGAAAGCTTTTCAGTGCATCTCCTCGTTTAAAGTTTATAGATTATCTGCCTGAACAATTTTCATTTTGAGGAAGTTGTTGAACAGGTCAGCTTTTTTCTCTGAGGTAGTAGACAGATGAGATGGAATTAGGTTTTTCTTAGCACCAAGGAAATAATCCCTAAAGAAACCTCTTACTACATAAAGTGGACCAAAATGGTTACAACTGAAGGAAAAACAGATACATTCATTCCATGTAGCATTTGAGCTATCTGTAATAATCTTATCAGAGACTGATTTTAGTAATAAAACACTTTCAAAAATGCAAAAGAGCTAGAGTATTTAAGAAGTCCTGTGTATACCCATAACTATTAAATTTACAAACATGAACAACACCTTCAGGACAAGGTGGTTACAGAAACAAGCAAACTATAGATTAACCCAAAAAAGTTCTGAAAAGAGTAAATTCTGGCTCTAAAAGCAACTAAATAACTTGTATTTGTATAGCACATGGTACTTCAGAACCTGGAAGTGCTGAAAGATGCATTCTACACAGACGCAGTAGGTTATTTATCGCAAGCCTAAGATGTTTCTGGAATTTTGAAAACCCCAGGTCTTTAAGGCGTCTGGCTTGGCCTTGAACATGAAGAAGCAGCTGCAGAATGTACCCCAGGCCCTCGTCCTGTTGCCTGCATTGGCGGCACCTACCTAACTCCACCTGCTGGAGATGGGCTTTGTCATGCAGAAATTCCAGGGCATTGTGCTACTACACCTCTGCAGAGGGTGGGACACTGTCCTCCCCAGAGCCTCATTAAAGGGGAGTGAAAACATCAAGGTGTTTTTAAGCCCATTACATCCGGAAGAGCCTGTCCTTGGAAATCAGGGTAACACATTTCCTTATATTAGCTTCTTTTTTTACTCAAATGTAGGTGATATATACAATATTATATTCAAGTATAGAGCATAGTGATTCAACAGTTATCTGCATTATTAAATGCTCACCCCAACTATCTGTCAACATAGGAAGATGTTACAAACTGTCAACTATTCTCTATGCTGTACATTCATCCCCTGACTAATTTATATTATGATTGAGATTTTGTGTCTCTTTATCCCTTTCACCTGTATTGGCTTCTTTCATTAAACTACACAGAGATTTACACAAAATGATATAGAAATAACGTATGCATTTCTTAATTCCAATTCCTAGGTGCCTTTGAATATAAAATCTTATTTGTATTTCCTTTCTTCTTTTTTAGAAGTCTCAGCACAAACGGAAATCTGTGATATTCAGCAGGACTGGAAGCCTTCATTCCTCAGTAATGAAGAATTCACCCAGCTGATGTTAGAGGTGAAATGTACTTTCAAATTAGCTTAATGGGTTGCAAATCAAAATGTAGCTGCTTGTTCCAGATAAGACCCTGTGCCCAAAATAAACAACTGTTCTTGACCCTGGAAAGAGGTCTTGAAACAGATACCATCTGGAAGCTCCACATGGTCCTGCTATGTCCTTGCTTGTGTTTTGGTTACCTAATTGGGCGCTATAATCAAGAATCCCAAAGCTGAATGTGAATGTGTACTGTCAACACAGTGACAACAGGCGGACCCACTCATGGTCTCCCAACCAGATGACACCTGGAGGGGCGGGGTCGGAGGCTGGGAGAGCAAAGGGAAGGTGAGAAGAAAGATTACATATCTGCACTGTTTTCTGGCTCAAAGAGTCTCCTCTTTAGAACACGGTGATTCTATTTTTCCCCTTAGGAAACACATTTTGAAAACAAAAAGCTTTTAAAATGATGCTTTTAACTCAAGCTCATATTACAACAACACTGGCATGTGGGTGTCAACCCTAGGTGACCCTGTGCCTCCCCACCCAGCACATGCCCTTTCTGTGCTGAGACGGTTGCACCCGTCCTTTGGTCCTTCATCTGCAGAGTTCGGTGCCCACGCCCGTCCGTAATTCTATTTGAGGAAATCTGGCTGATCTGAGCAAGTGGTCTTCCTCAATGTCATGTCTATACATGGGTGAAGCCCCTCCCTACTTATGAGGGTGAGTCTCTACAGAAGCATCTGGCTGGGTGCTCTGACTTCCACACCGGGGGTAAGACTGGGAGGGCTTGGGCACAACAGTGAAGGGAAAGTCCCAGACGTGGCATGTCTGAGCCCCTGAGTGAGAAGAGGAAAACCAGGACAGATGAGTTCAGCACAAGGAAGTTAGATGCTGGCTCTGTGACAGTGGTTCCTGGCAGGGTTTTTGGAGAGCGGTTTTGGGAATAAATCTTTCTATATCTCATCTCATGTGCCTGTATAAGACTGATGTAAACTTTAATTTACATAGATTAACTATGCAGAAAACAGAAAGTACTGGAGTAAGAAAATGCCAGAATGAAGGTGTCCAAATATTATGAAATATAAAGGCATTAATGAACATTTGCATAAAATGAAAGATACTTAAATCTACATATGAACTATATTTAAAGAAAATACAGAACTTTCTCCAGAAGCAATGCATTTTAAGTATGTTAAATTTAGAGCAGCTTGTGAAATATAATGTTGAATTAATGCATCATTAAACTACTTTACATAAATCACTTTACTTCTTAATTGTCAGGGAAAAGGAAGTAAAACTCATAGCCCTATAGCACTATCACTTTTCAAGAGCCTGTAACACAACCATTTTTCTTTCCAGTGAATTTCAAGGTATCAAAAGCATTTGTGTAAACAAAACTTTTATAAAGTTGGATAAATATGTGGGCTGAAAGTCAGGACTGAGATTCAGGAGACTGGAATTTCTAGAAAAGGGGGATTTGGGATTTGTATGGATATCTTCTGTGCCCTTACCCCCTGCTCCCGGTAAAGACTCCTTGAAGCACTAAAGGAAATCATGCTAGAAGTGAATGAATTGGACCTGAAATTACACCTGTATAACAAGCAGGCCTTCTGGGTGAATGACAGCTTTGAGGAGTCTGTGAGACCCACCGGCTAGTACTTTTGATTTATCTTTGACTGTTGTAGACTTTTATTCCAACCTGTTGCTTTTCAGCAGACACAGATGTGGGGATGAGTAACTGGAGCCTTATATCTCCTCCCCAAGGGTCCAAGCTCCGGCAGTGCCCCTCCAGGATGATGTCATTTTCCACTATGCAATTTCGTGGTGTGTGTCCCAGTCCAGCTGCACATCCACCTCCTTGTTTCAGGGCCATTTCAGGGAACATGAGGAGTCCAGATGCCATGTCTTGGTAACTGGGAGGTTCCTTTTTAAAATGAGGGCAGACTCATCAGGCCCCAGGGAAGTGAGCTGCTGGGACCTCTGGATGTGAATCCCTCCTTCTTCCATCATCTCTCAGAAAGACCCCAAAGCAGACTCCGGGAGCACTCTCACAGTTGTGGAGGTTGCAAGAACAAAAATGACTGGGTTGCAGACCAACCATGGTCACCAAGTAAAAGCTGGCAAAGACTGGCTACAAGCATCTGAACAAGGAGACTCATAATGAGAGAAAGCTCTTATCAACTGGCAGTTAGGGAGTGTGTGGGATTTCTGAATTTTATTCAGAAAAATCTATAGGGATCTTTTCTCTTAGCCCAGAGGTTAACCCGGAAAACAAGAAACAGTCCATCAAAATCAGGAACTGGCAGAAAGGGGTGGTTTCATATCCCTGTGGTATGTGGCAGGTGTGAAATTTGAGCCATTATGGCATCTTTGGTGTCCCTGGAGGTCCTATTAGAGTCACCTTTGCATGGAGAGGGGTACATCACTTTGTAATTGTGGTCTATTGAGTCACTTTCAAATGCTGCTGATGGGATTTCTAAAACCATCACAAGCATTCTTAAAGCAGTGACTCAGTGCAGTTCTTGTGAACTTGATGGAAATGCCAATGAGCTGATGAAAGTTATCTTACATCTATAAATACCTTCAGCTTTTTAACACCCACTTGCTTTACAAATTCAAGAGGGGCATAGGCTCACTGTACAAGAAGATAATTTATATTGCTCCAGTGTCTTCCAGTATTCAAATATGCTTTTTCCAAAAAGGTAGAACTGACATCATCAACAGTGCCCTCGCCTCTTAAAAAAATCACCTCCAGAAGCACTGCGAATATAATTTAAAAAACAATTTAGAAAAATACTGGAGGGAAAAATAAATAACTGTTACTAGGATGTACCTCTGTGTTCACCGTGACCCATAACATCTAATCCAGAATTTCTCAGCCTCAGCACTCCTGACATTTTGGACCTGACAGTTCTTTGTTATGGGGATGTCATGTGCATTGTAGGCTCTTTCAAAGCATCCTTGGCCTCTGTGCACTAGATGCCAGCAGCATCCACTCCAGCAGGGACAACCAAAAATGCCTACAGATATTTCCAGATGTCCCCAAGGGGACAAAATTGCCCTCAGTTGAAAACCACTGATGTAATCCAAAAGGAAGAGATCTGCCTAAGAAATGCTCTCTAAACTATTTTTCAGTCTTAAATCCTGCAGTATGTAAGTGTAAAATAGTAAGTGACTCCAGTGTTAGTTTTCCTGGCGAAAAGAACTCTCTGCTACTTTTGGCACATTGTAACCGTTCCCTTAAGCGTGGTTAGTGGACTGTTTCTGGTACTGGCTGCAGTGCACTTAGCCACACCCTCCTGACTGGAAGGAATCAGTTCTGTTTGGCTGTGCAGATCATCATTAACACCCTGGGAAGATCTAGGTGAGCACATGCCAAATGTTGCCAGAACTTTTAGGCACATATTTCAGTTCATTTTTTTTTTGTTCATGTGGAAAAATTGCCATATTTGGGGAAGATGGAAGAGTCAGTAAAGCCACAGTGAAAGGTTTACAGTGACAGTCCACCTGAATATATTGCTTCTTCAAAGATTAGATTTTTGGTAATCTGGACTTCGCTTTTAATCTCGTGGGTACACCTGTTCAGCCAGTTGCCAGTATGACCCAATGCTCTGCTGAACTACTAGTGTGAACTTTAGAAATGAACTTTTAGATGTGTCTTATGGCAGCATTATAGCATCCATTAAGGAATCTAACACAAACCAGCAAAAGTGTGAGAAGACATAGACTGTCTGAATCTTCTCTATCACCTGTAGCAGAATGCCTAGCATACAGTAGACACTCAGCAGACACTTTTAAGCAAATGAAGTTTTCTGAAATTCTGAAATACTTACGGTTTACAGCCCTTAATTGTTGCTTCTGTGGAATAATGTAAATGTTCTTTATAAATAGTTCCTTCAGGAGGTGTTTCTCCTGTGGCAGTGAATGTTCACAGAGGTCTACCCTGACCAACAGGCACACTTTCTGTTTTTAATCCATCTATTAGGTCTGATATTTTTCAGTAAATGTTTATCAGTGAACTCAAAGTGATGTTAAGGATAGGGGGACAGGGACCATAGAATATCACTCACATCTTTTACTGATAATTGTGATCTTTCTGATTCAGTCTAATAGTATGTTTATAATCAGAACTACTTAGGTAATTTCTGTGGCTAAATTTTGTTTCATGATACTGATAGGTCATATTTTTCATAGAGCCTTTTTGGTGCTTTGCAAGCACTTTTCCCTGGACTAGAAAATTCAGTGTAAAAAGCCATCTTCTTTGCAAAGTGGAAAAGTACTGTGAGGTTATTCATGAAAATACTCTAAGGGGTAAAAAAACAAAGTCAGTGTCATGACACGGGGTCCTTTGCTTCAGTGACATCCTCCTCCATAAAAACATGACTAAGGAACCTTCAACTGTCACATTTTCTGCAGGCATTAGATGGCTTCATCATTGCAGTGACAACGGATGGCAGCATTCTCTATGTTTCCGACAGTATCACGCCTCTCCTTGGGCATTTACCGGTGAGTTTCTGCTCCAGCGACCTTTGCCAGTACATGTTGTCTTCCTTCCTTGAGAACCATTCAGATCTCAGATAGGGGGTGGTGCAGGTATGAGGGGGTCTGTATGTAGGAGGGTTAAGGGTCAAGGTCAAGGTCCCAGAGGCCTTTGGAGAAAGGGCTGGTACAGGCATGTGTCATCCTGGAATAAGCAGGGTGTCATGATCTTGGCAAGGCTAGATCTGGAGTGGGGGACGTGGGTGCAGGTCCGTACCTTCTGTGCCCCGGAAACTGCACAGGAGCTGTGCATCGAGGAGGGGGTTGCTACACAGTTAGCAGAGCTCAGGGCTGGTAGGTGTCCTGCAAAGGGAAAAGCTGACATCTGGGTCAACTGAGAGCTGGTCAGAAATGTGCAACCAAGGGCTGGAGGTGGGGATCCCTGAGGACACTGAGGTCGCAAGTAGGTTGTGACACTTAATGGTGGTAAGGGTTCAGTGAAAGGGATGATCCAGAGAGGTTGAAATACTCTGAGAGACAGTGGGACCAAGGCCTCAAAGAATGAGGAGGGCTTGAGTGGAGGACAAGTTGTACCATCCTGGGGGAGCCAGGTGGAGGCTCAGAGGGGACAAGTGTGGCATGTGCCAGGGCCCTTCTTCACGGCCCTCCCTCCCCTTCTTCCACCCTCTGCCCCTGCCTTTCTTCTCTCCCCCCACCCTTCCTCCTTTCCTCCACTCTGGTAACCACCCCTGCCCCAGTCAGCGTAGACCGAGTCATGGAACAGTAGCTGGCTAGTTGGCACCCACCTTTGAGGTCCCTCCTAGGCTCTTGCCAACCACACCATTGTCTGTTCCTGGGAGCTTAACCTTGAATGATGCACTACCAGGACTTTCCCATGGGTTAGACTCGGACTGATGTTCTCTCTTGCCCCTGATCCTAAACAGCCCCTCCAAACACTTATCCCCCAGCATCCCACATTGGCACATCAGTGGTGGAGGGCCAGTGTATGTGATGAGGCGGCAGGCAGCATCCCCAGTTCCCAGGCCAGGAAGCCCCTGGAGCCCCATGGATGCCACTCAGCTGCATCTGCCCTGAGCATGTGGCCTTGCTCTGTGGGCAGCTCGCCTCCCCTGGGGTGACAAACCCTGCTGTGCTAATGGCCCAGGATTCCACACCTCCAGGAAGCCACTCCCCCATCCCATGGTTTCTGCAAATCATGCTATGTGGGGATGAAAGCACGTCGGTCTCTGCCGGTCACGGTGTGTGGACTGGAAAACGTTTCCTCCTTTGCTAGGCAGAGGCCTTTGCATTTCCGCATCATCTGTCTGACCTCTGTGCTTCCGCCCGAGCCCAGGCTGCCCTGGGCTGAGGGGCTCCTTCTGCCCCCAAGGGCTGTTACAAGAGGCCGCTGCTCCCTGAAGGGCTAACTAGGAGGCGAGAGTACAGTTCACGTGGATTTTCATGTCAGGCAGAGAATAGAATAATGATGAGGCCGGTGGGTCAGCCTGGTTTCTCCGGGCTGGTCCGAGGGAGGCGGAGGGGCGAAGGGGAGGGGAGGTGCTTCTCTGGGGGCTTATGTTCTGTGTGGAGAGTCCCGGACTGGGCAGGGGTGGGCACTGACTGAAAACAATGAAGTGTGGCCCCCCAGTGACCGGGCACTCTGGATTGGCACCGCTCTGCTTCATGCTCTTGGGCTTTTCTGGTGACCCGGCTGCTGTACATAGCAGAGGGGACTTACAAAGTAAGTTGGGAGTTACTCAATTGGAAATTATGGAGCAATTCAGGATCACCTTTATAAATTATCTTCTAACTCTGGAAGGACCAGAAATGACCCTGACTCTACTCTATCAGTGCTAGATCCATCTGGATGCTTCCTAAGGGTCTACTTAGACACCCACACCCAGACATACACTGAGTCAGCCCTTAAGCTCTCCAGTAGAGCTGAGCCTGGGATGGACAGTCCCGAAATTTAACTTCCTTTTAAATTGGCAAAACTGGATAAGCAGTTTTACCAAGATCACCATCTTCTTTCCCCTTTTTGCTTAGCATCAACTTGCATCCTTTGCTAGTGGGCAGACAAGGGTGATTAATAATGAAAACATCCCTGGTGCCAGTCAGCATCCAGTTGGCTAAGGAAAGGAGCCAGTCTGGGAGTAATAACTCCATGTTACAGGGGAGGAAATGGCCCAGCCAGCGAGGGGCATAGCAGGGCTTAAACCAGAGTCCAAGCTTGTAACCACTCTGCTCTGGGGCCTTTCTGATGCCAAGGATTTGGTTCGCTATTTAGGAATTCTGCTTTTGGTCCGGTTCACTTCAGGACTTACCGTTTACTGAGTATCAGCCCAGGACTGGTCCACAGAGGATGCAGCCGGCCATGTGAAATTATTTGTCCTTAAAGGTTTGCAATTTTGTTGATATATCTCATCTTTTAAGATCAATACAGACTAATAGAAAAATAGCTAACACTTACCAAGCACTTACTGTGAACCAGTACCCTCATGTATGTTAGCATGTGTAAAGTACCCAGGAGAGTTCCGGACACAGAGTTGGGGCTCCATCACGTTTGCGCCCCTTATCCTTATGGATCTGTACAATGACCCTCTGAAGCAGTTATTTATCCCTGGATCACAGATGAGGAAACTGAGGCACAGAGGTTAAGTTTACCCAGCCAGCAAGTGATGGGGCTGGGATTTGAACTCAGGCCCTTGAACTCTAGAACTTGGTGCTTGGCCACTTCTCCAAATTCTGCATAGGACAGAGCAGAGTTGACTTCTCAGGGTGGGGTGGTTAGGAAGGGAGGGAATGAGGATCTGAAAGGCAGTGGTCAGTCTTGGTGGAAGAGGTGGACATTGGGGGGGCACATACAGTAGGGATGTGATGTGGGCGGTGGGGGCAGGAGCCATGGGCCTCAGCAGCAGCACCCGACTGGTGCCATGGGCTGGCATGCCAGGGGTTGGGACCCCTGCCCCTTGTGTACCCTGGCATTAGAGGGCCATCATTGCTTGGGAGGCTCAGGCAGCAGGATTCCTTTCTTCTTCTGAGACTGTCAGGCTGACAATCTCTCTCTGTTTCCTTCCTGTTACTAGAAACTCAGACATGGCAAAGGCTCATGTGATAGGGGTTTTTTGTATGGCAATTTCCTGATAAAATATCCTAGAACTTTCTTTTCCAGTTGGACCCAGAAAAGAGAGAAGAAAATAGCTCATAGCAGAAAATGATTTTAAGATAAAGTCAAAACTTGTCCATGCTGGTGAAACCAGCACATTTCAGCATCTAGAATTAACACAGGCAGTTAAAGAGGAAGCTGGGCACAGCGGGTGAGTGTTCTGATGGAAGACCAAGGACTGTAGGGAGCTTCTGGGATGGAAACCTTCCAGGAAGGCTCCAAGTTGCATGAGCCACATGCTTTGGACAGAACTGGGAGAGAGTGTGGCTGAAACAGACCCTAGTTAGAGACCCAGAGTAGTAGGCATATTCTGTTTCCTGCTTGGACTTTTGGTAGGTTTTTTTTTTTTTTCCTAAATATACGTTCCTAGATTGCCTTTCTTACTTGTTAATGGTGATGCTCTTTGCCCAGTGAGCTGGGCCATACTAAGCTCATAAGGCAATAGCCTTGTCTCTAGCCCTGAGCACAGCGCCCACGTACCTAAGCGCTCACTGAATCAGGGACTGAGTCCACATCTGGGGCTTCCACACCACGTGCAACTGCGAACCGTTTGACAGGAATGGCAGGTGTCTCAGAAGTGAGATGTGGGTGTGGATAACACAACTTCCCCGAAAGAAAGTAATCTGAGGCATGGGTGATTATAAAGTCAGAGAAACCTACATACCAAAGGTACTTCTGCATAATGCTGGTTCTCCAAGTGAAAGCTCCAGCAAGAAGTGCAAGGTCAAAGTAGAGTAAGGCACCAAGTCCCCGCAGCAAAGGTCACAGCAGAGGAAAGACGACCCCTGGCTTGCATCACCATGAAATGCAGCAGCAAGGCCGAGGCCGTGAAACACACTTCCCAGGAATCATCCCTCTGCGTCCTTCTCCTCACCTGCAAAAACCCACCCGCTCCAGGTCATCTTGTCAGAGGTGGCTCCCGGGCAGGTGGAAGTGGGGGGTCACTCTAGGGGGACCCCAATGGGTTTGACTGCAGCTTGAAGTTAATCATGGGTTAGAGAGTCTAGGTCCCCAGTTAGATGTTTTTTATGCGCCTTTTGATTTGATATGCTCAGTTTTTAAATTAACAATAAAGTGAGCATGAAAATACATGCTCTCACAATAGTTCGGAACTAAAACATGGCAGGACCACAGAAGCTCCTATCTGCTCTCTCCCTTACACCCCCATCTTCCACCCAGAGATGACTGTTTTCCTGACTTTTAAGATCATTTCCATGTTTTTCTTTATAGTGTTACCAACTCTTAATTCACCACAAAACACTAAAATTTACTGTTACCTTTTGTTTAACTTTATGTAAACAGAGTCATAGAGAACATGTACTCCTTTGTGACTTCTCTTTTTGCTCACCAACATTGTTGGTGAGTCATCCATCTCACACTGTTGGTTGTGGCTGTCACTAGTTCATTTTCAAGGCTGCGTAGTATTCCACTGGGAGCATGAGCTGCAATCCCTGCATCCACAGCAGTCTGGAACTCTCAGGGCTTCTGTCAACATGCTGTACGTATTTCCTGAGAGAGGTTTGCAAGCATCCCTTGAAGAACTAACTTTGTGTGGAATTGCTCGGTGGTAGGGTAGGCACACCATCACCTTTACTAGATAACACCAGATTGTTTCCATAGTGATTGTACCAATTAACCCTCCACTGGCAAGATGGACAGCGACGGGAACTCCATGCAGCAGAGCATGGTGTTTGCAGACTTTGTAGTGTGTGTTGATATAAAGTGTGAAGCTTACCTCATGGGGTTTTAATTTGCTTTTCTCCCAATTACCAATGAGATTGATAGTGTCTTGGCTTATCTTTGTTAGCCATTTGGATTTCCTCACTTATGAAGTGCTTATTCAGGTATTTTGCCATTTTCCTACTGGATTGTCCGGGGTTTTTTCTTGTAATGGTTTGCAAGCATTCTTTCCACGTTCTGGGCACTAGACCTGGACACTGTTTCAATCACCTCCTGTGCAATCAGTCCTGGGGGTACAGGGGCAGCTGGACATACCAGCAGACACTGAACAGATAAGCTGGACAGCTTATTAGTCACATAAACCCACGGCCCAAGGGAGTAGGATGCTGCATGCTGGGCAGGGCCACTGAGGGGCCATACTCTGGAACAGTGCTCCAGCAGGGGCCATGGGAGGCAGGCTTTGTGGTAACAATGTGCTGGGGTGCCCCTGGTCCCCACAGGGGTGAGATTGGCTGGTTTGAATAATTCTGTGGGCTGGCAGGGGACTAAACCTGGTCCCCTTGTTTATCCCTGGGGGCAGGGTACGGAGGGGAGCTTTTGGTTAGGCCGGTCAAGGCCTTCCTGGTTTTGCCAGGTGACAAGGCAACATGTAACATTGAGCCTTAATTGTAGGCCTTACGCCACAGGTATGTGTGTTGCAAATAGCTTCTCTCATTCCTTGGCTTCTCTTTGCCTCCCTTCAGGTTCTTTTGATGGACAGAGATTCTTTATGATTGGTGCTTTATATCTTCATTAAGTCGTTACTACACCCAGGTCAGAGCTATTCTCTGTACTGTCTCCAGGAAGTGTTAACTGCTTGGCCATCAGTTTGATTCTGAATCTAAACTGTATTAAAGCATATTAAATATGCCTCCAACTTCCTGGTCCTAGAGGGAGGCCAAGGTCCCAACTGCTTCCCTGAGCCCATTCCTGCCTCTCCTCAGTGCGTAGCTTCACAAGGACTTCCTATGGCCCCATCACACAGACCTCCAGCCAGAACTGCCGGGCCCCCAGGGACCTCCCTGAACTGAGTGCCCACCCAGCGCACTTCCAGCCCAGCTGGCCAGCTTCTGTGCGCACCTCCCGCAGGCCTGCCCGACGCCGCTGGGGGTACCTGACCTGCTGCTGGGTTCCTGAATGCCTCCTGTCATTTGCAGTGCTTTCCGACCATCCCCAGGCTCTCGAGGGGCCTCAGGGGGAAACATGGGAGATGTGCAGTTTGGAATTTAGGGCAGCCATACATAGGGAAACTCAGAAAAGGATTCTTATAAAGAATCTTGATAAAGCAGCAAGGCCATGTCAGTAAGCTGGGATAGAGAACCTCTGCCTCCACCAGGTAAGCGATGTTCCTGATTATGTGCTCAGCCAGGAGGATGGCTGCAGATGACATGGCCCTCCCTTGTCTGTGTAATCGCTATTACTTTCACGAACAAAGCTCAGCTCATTCAGGGGGCAGCTTAGTTGCAGATACAATTTTGACTCTTTTATAAGCACTAGGGTTAAAATGTTCAAATTAGCATTATCTGTGTTAGTTTTCAACACATGAGAAGGGCAAGATAGTAAAATAATAGCAAATATATACAAAGAAGTTGCTCTATGCAACAGTTCTGAGCCCTTTATGTGTATTAACTCATAATCCTCACAACGCCCCGCCCATAGAATACCTCCCCCACCCCATCCAGTGTTCATCTTTATTCTCAGAGCCTGGAGCCTGTGCGCCCCAGCCCTCTGACCTGCCACCTGTCTCCCCCAGGAGCAGCTGGACCGGGTAGCCCAGTAGCCCTGCTCTCTACCAGACTCGCCATCAGGGCCAGCGGGCCTCCCACGGGCCCCTCAGGAAGACCATGGAGTGACTTGGTTATCATTTACAAGCGTCTAAAATGTCCTTAAAAAGAAAGACTACTGTTATCTGTGAGCATTAGTCATCTTCTAAAAACTAAAGGGAATGGGCTTAAAATAAAATCAAGAACATCAGAAGAAACTTGGAGAATGAGAATGAGAAAATAACAGCACAGCTAGCAGGCGGTTTGCAGTCTTAGAGACCAAAGTGGGCAATCCAAGCCACTGGAGCCCCTCGTGCCCTGCCCTTCATCAGCCTGCAGATGGTGTCCACCTTCCTCCCACCCCCTCCAACACTGGCTGCACCAGGGGAGGGGCCGTCTACTCTGTAGGATTTCTCCCCAGAGCCCACACAGACTACAGCAGTGGCCCGCCGGTGGGAGCCCTGAACCAGTGCTGGTTGAGTAATCCTGCCGAATAACCCGCCTTGACTTGGTGCCTTCCTCTGCTGCTGCCTTCCTGGGGGCCTGTGCAGACTGTGCACCCCTAGCCTGCTGTCCAGAGCTCCCTGTCTCCTCAGACACTGGGGTGTTTCTCTAAAATACAAGAGCCGCCAGGCCCCCTCCTGCAGGTCCCTTGGCGGGTCCTTCTGGTGCACAGGTCTGCCCTTCCCTGGGGCTTCTCCACCGCGGCCCCTTCCCTTCACAGCCGCCTCCGCCCGGGAAAGCTGCAGTGGCTCCACTTCAAGCCATGTGTGGCTGTCCCCTGCCTGGTGTGCCTGCTGCCTGGTGGATCCCGTAGTGTCCCGCATCCCTCTCAGGGATTTCTCCCTCTGGGAGCTGTTCCCTGGGGGCGTCCCCACCCTTCATTTAGCATTCAGCACCCCACACCCAGTGTTCTCTGGGCCTTGTCATGCCTTGTATCACAACGCTTGCCAGACCACTTTCATTGCACCCACACATCTTTGTTGAAGGCCGAGCACCGTTCAGGGTCAGGCACCTGTGGGTGAAGGAAGTAGACAGGCCACGCCAGCACTGGCGCTCCTGGCAGGGGAGGTGGACAGAGGACACATGTCAACACAAGTGACCAAGAAAGCCTGGGGTCCTTTCGTGAATCGTTGTGCACCCCTGGCTATGCCCAGCAGTCTAAGTGTTTGCCATGTGCCCTTTAGCCTGGGGTCCTTTTGTGAACCGTTGTGCACCCCTGGCCATGCCCAGCAGTCTATGTGTTTGCTGTGTGCCCTTTTACCAGCAGCATCCTTAAGCAGTCCCTTTAACCCTCCCAGCTTCCTCACCTTTCCGCTGAGCCAAGAGCAGCATGGAGGGGGCAGCAAAAGCTTTCAAGCCTGACTTCTGGGGCTCTCACCCCCCTTACCACAATGTGGGCAGGTCTCCTTGTAGACCCCACCATCCAGGCAAAGACATGCCCTTCCCCAGCAATTGTAGGATGGCATAACAGATGACATGCGGGGGGACCAGGGCCAGAGCAGCAAGAGGAGGGCACTGTTCTGGAGAAGGGTGGGCTGTTGTGGGTGCTTCCTCAGGGCAAGTGACTTCCAAGGAGGGGCTGAAAGGATGCACAGGGCCTGGCTCAACAGGAGAGGGTGTCACCTGGGGGAAGCCCAGAAGGAAGAGCGAACCTGACAAACTGGAGAAGAGAAAGCATGGAGGGCAGGTTGTGTGGGGCCTTCGAAGTGGATTAAGAAACTGGACTTTGTCCTGGGAGCCTTGGGAAGCCAATGGGTGGTTTGAAGCGAGGTGGTGGCTTGATCTGACATGAGACTCCCTGAGGAGGGCTCTGAAAAAAAAAAAAAAAGAGAGAACAAACTGGTTGGGACAAAAGTTGATTTGGAAAAACCGGTTTGGCCAGTTCACCCCCCAGACTGGAGGTGGCGGTGGTCTGGGTTAGAGGCCCTAGGAATAGAGAAGTGAGTGGATCGGAGCAAACTTTAGGGAGGAAAATCGTGTAGCGGTTGGCATTGTTTGGGTGGGAGGCAGCAAAGTCAAGGGCACCACCTGGGTGTCTGGTGTGGGCAAGTGACAGGTTGGCAACACCATATATGGGGATGGAGACCCAAGGGGAGGAGGAGGTGTGGGCACCAAAGAGTGGTGACACTGGGATGTGAACCTGGGGTTCCCAGGGGGCATCTGTGTGGCAGGTAGAAGGTTAAGCCAGGGCACATGAGAGAGTTGCTGGATTTACAGTTTAAGAATGTATACAGCTGGTGTTTAGAGCTGTAAGAGGGCACCAGTCTACTGCAGGAGACCGAGGAAGCCGTGGAGCTGTGCCCACCTCCTCTCCAACTCCACTGCAAGCTTCCCCCTTCACCGGCCAACACAGGAGCCACCAGCCATGTGTGGCTCTTTAAATTTCTAATTTTCAGTAGAAAATTCAGTGTTTAGTCATACCAGCCACCTTTCTGTACTCAGTAGCCATGTGGCTGGTGACTTCTATAGCACACAGTGCAGAATATAGACCGTTTTCATTATCACAGACAGTTTTATCGGATAGGGCTGTGTTTGGACTCCATGTTGTATTTATTTTGAATCCACAGTGCCCAAGCACTCAGAAGAAAAGTGCAGTTCCTTCCATTAAGACCTTTAAGAAGCAAATAAATAGGAAGCCAACCACTGGCCTAAAGGTCAGAAGAGGAACCCCCTACACTCTTAAGGGCCCTTCAGATGAGTGAAGGGGCCACACTGCCCTCACCAGAATTCAGGCATGTCAGCTCCTCAAGCAAGAGAAGGACTCTGTGCTTTTTGTCCAACGTAATGCCTATTTCTTTCTGGGACTCATAGGTAATGGTATACACACTTGAGCAAGTAAAACCTTTTAGACTGCAATTCAGAATTACAGAGTGAGAGACTGAGTCTTCACAGAAAATCAAGCCTAGAACTGAATTGTCATGAGTATCCCAATCTTGCTTTTGCTTTTATTCTTCATCTTTGTTGAGCGTGTACCCTTATTCTTTATTTTCTGTTTCAGTCGGATGTCATGGATCAAAATTTATTGAATTTCCTTCCTGAACAAGAACATTCAGAAGTTTATAAAATGCTTTCTTCCCATATGCTTGTGACAGACTCCCCCTCCCCAGAATACTTAAAATGTAAGTTTACTTGACTGCTTTTATAAGACAGAAAGGTGAGAATTTTTTGGAAGGAGGTTAGAAAGAATTAAGAAGAGAGGACTAATTTTAAGAACAATTTTCCTTGTGACTCATAACATTTCCAAGATCCTGAGAGGTATATTTTAAGTTTAAAAGTAAAACTGGAGTTTAGAATATGTAAGACATTTAACTTTTATGTGAAAAAGTTGAAAGCATAGGGTTTATGAATAATAACTTATTTCGCATGTAATACAAGAGATTTTTTTTTTTTTTGCATGAGAGTCTTTTAGGAATAAACAGTACAAAACCACTGGGCTGTCTGCTTATTTTGGAGAACACCATAACGCTAGATTTGTAAGATACCAAATAACCAGCTAAAAATGAATTAGGTCAAAATTCCAAATTCTTTTCCCCTGAGACTGTCATCTGGTTATCTGTAAATATTTGTGGTTCTTACAGAATTTTTAAGTTTTTAAGATTTTGTCAAAATTGGCCACCTGGGTAGAAGGCTGGCGTTGGTGCCTACCGGACTGTGTGTCACTCAATGAAGCGCATATGTTGATGGAGGTAGAGAAAGTGCCTTGCAGTTAATCAAGTCTTAGTCCATTTTCCATGAATAATTTATCCTGTTGTACATCTGACTTTACTTCTAAGTGAAAAGATTCAATCGAGGAGATCAGCTTTATAGGAGCAGCTCTATTTTAATATACTGTATGAAATGCCGACATAACCAACCACAGACATCAGTGAGCCAATTAAGACTAATTGGGTCCAAGTATGGGCTGCAAAATAATCTATAAGCTGGGGGGTGGGGGAGAGAAAATCCTATGCAGCAGGGGTTGTAAAACCATGTCCAGAAGTCAGTCATAATGAGAAATCTCCTGGCCACACTGTTTCTCGAAGATGTGACTTACTTAGTCTAGAGTCCAAATAATGCTCATGTTCCCTTTCTCTCTTTTTTCCTCTATGACCCAGCTGACAGCGATTTAGAGTTTTATTGCCATCTCCTCAGAGGCAGCTTGAACCCAAAGGAATTTCCAACTTACGAATACATAAAATTTGTAGGAAATTTTCGCCCTTACAACAATGGTAAGCTCTAGTTGTCATAGAATTGCCTTAGCGTTTTTGTCCTGCAGACGTGCACACGGAGCCACAAGAATCAGGAGGAGGATGAGGGGAGAATGTGTTTCATATTTGCATTTGGATTTTCATGTTCCCAAGATGTGTTTTTGTGCTTGTAAATGTTATCTTCCATTCCAGAACACACTCCCACACTTATTTATGCCAGTGTACTAAGTCCCCCTGAAATGTGCATTATCCATTTATTTGCATGCTGATGGAATACTTCTGTACTGTGAGAATGACGGTTAATAAAGAACAGGCTCAGCCTACACACAGCCAAACAGGCCTGCATTGTGACAGAAAGATCCATAACCTTGGCTTCTGCATTTTTATCCCCCCTTTTTACAATATGCTGTGAGCATGTTTAATAGATATGGGACCTAGGTGTCCTGCTCACCGCAGCCCTAAGGCACAGTACGTGGCCATTCTCTGATGAACTGTCAATCCTTAAAATCTGACTTTCTAGAATTATCCAGATTGTTATCCAATTTCTGGCTGCAGCTGTAAACTAGACACAAACCCTCAGTTTTACTTTCCACCCAGGGAAAATGGGAAGGCAGGCCTGATGCCAAATTCAGAAACACAAGCCACGCGCACACAAGGCAGAACCAGCACAGAAAGGCCCTCACTTCGTTTGCCCCACTCTCCAAAACTCAGCCCAGAATATGCAACTTTGAAAGATCTAACTTTTCATGAAATAGCCAGGATGGGAAAAAATAGAAGAAAGTGTTGACAGGAAATGGTAGGAAGAGAGAAGAGGGGAGGCAAGAATCACAAAGAAGACAGATCGAGAAAGGCAAGCCGCAGAAATGAGTGGGGTGGGGGTGGGGGAGCAGGAGGGAGACCGGGCCACGATGTCAGGGTCCCTCAGGCGGCTTTGTCACCTCGTTTAGCTCTGAACGCACCGGTGAGTCTGATCAGTTCAGAGGTAATCTGATTTATTCCATGAGAACCGACCAGTCATGGCACTGACTGCGAATGCTGGGCTAACCAGGATTTTTCCTTCAGCCTTAGATGATCCTCTGTTGTATGTTATTTGCATAAATACACATGCTTTGTTTAAAAGGCTTCTACTAGTTGCTAAGCCGCATGTTCCCACCAAAGTGATTTTCAGTTCCAGTATCCAGGCTTCATGGCCTTGGTAGATGGGCTCCACGGCCAACTTGCAGTTGGGAACCTTTGGGAACTCACCCATCCAGGGCTCAGTGTTCTGAGTGGCTGGAAGGGATGGGAGGCCAGCTTGGCTAAATCTAGGCAAAGCAAGATGAAGCCAAGGTCTGAGCTGCCTAATCCAGCTCATCTGAAAGGCTCTCTCAGACCTCACCAGAGCAATGTTTAATGAACCATACCTAAGTAAATGGCAGCTCATTGGGCTCCCTCACTCAAGAAACCGACCTGAGGGGCATTCGTGGACCACGCAGCGTGACGACAGCCCTTGTGCGGTGGCTCACTGGGTGAGGCAGCCTGCTAAAGTGCAGATTCTCAGGCATTGCCTGAAGATTCTAGTTCAGGAGATCTAAGAGTGGAGCTGGGGTTGTGCCATTGGACAAGAAACTCAGGGATCATGGGCTTTGAGAAACACTGCCTCTTGTGGCAACACATACCACTCCGTAGGAATTTTAAAGATGCTCCTCTCACTATGGCGCTCCTTCCAGACATTTCTATCCTTGAATTAATATGAGCAGTGATTTGAAATGTGCTTAAAATATGTGCCATGGCCATAATGCCAGCCGCAGGGACAGCAGCATGTCCCAAGTGGCCACATGCAAGGAGAAAGCACAGGCGCCCTGGCCCCCAGAGTGCCAAGGCTGCAGGAATTATGGGATGCCGCACCCACGTGTCCCCATGGCAACAGTGCACCCACTTAAAGGAACAGACCTGTGACTGGCTGGTGAGCAGCAGTTGTATCCTTTGTGAATTTACATTTCCACGCCTCTCATTAAGATGCTGCTGAATATCCCTGTGAAGCCTCCTCTCATGTGTCAACTCTTAGAAGGTTTCAAGGAAATAGGCAGGGTTCAGTGTGAATACCTGGGATTTTTTTTTTTTAACTAGCTAGGCTTTATTTTCACTTCAAGTTGAGGCGGTGTTTGTTTGCTTAAAAGAATGTGTGGAAATTACATGTGATTTTTTTTTCTTGGAAACTGTTACTGCTATAAACACACAGCATTGAAAGTAGAAGTTTTAAAAACAAGAGTGCATAGTGTCTTTCCAGAACCTGCTGAGCAAACCAAAGTTAGGGGGCCTTTCATAGGACAGGAGTCTCCAAATGTAATTGTGCAAAACCTAAAATTAATTCTCACTTGGATTAAAATAGCAAAAACTGTCAGAGACAAATGAATTTCTGAGATTGAGCCCAATGAAAGCACCAACAGGCAACCACTTTTGACCTATAAAATGATGGTTTAATATAAGAAATAATTCAAATTTGATGTTGTAGGCTTACTTCTCAATAAACATTGAACAAAGGGTTAATAAAAATAGCTCACTTTAGGAGTGTTTCCTAAGTGCCAGCCTCTGGGCTGTCTCGCACCCATCATCTCACTGGGTCCTTGCAGCAACCTTTTGAGGTGGTCCTACTGGCACCGTCCCATCATACTGGAGGAGGAAATTGGTGCATAAAAGAGTGAATGCTGAGGTATACAGGTGGGAAGTAGGGGACCCACATGCATACCCCTTCTAGCCCTGAACTCATACTGATTTATTCCATGAGAATCCAGTGCTTTTCTCCCCCACACAAATCTATGTTGAAATTAAACATCTGGATGCAGAACACAGGCTCACCCTGCCACCTGGCATTCTGTTGGTACCTGTGCACATCAGGCATCCTATATCCATCCACCAAGCTGTTTTTTTTAATCTGAGATTTGTTTTAAATCAAATATGGTAAGACCCGCAGACATGAAATGACTGTCATAAGGAAAAGCTTTATACTTACAGGTAGGTAAGCAGACGTAGGGTTGGCTAGTTTGAATCGTTTTAGCGGCCTCTGCGTATAAGGCTGTCCCGCATTATCTGGTACCTGGCCCTGGGGTAACTGGGGCCAGTGAATAGTGGTCCAGAGTGGGAGAGCCCATAAAGGAGGTGGCTGGCGGTGCGGGCTTAGGATGGGCTTGTTTGCATATGAAGAGTGCACTGGAAATGAGTAGTCTGCTGACTCTAGGAACTGGCTAACCCAAAGAGGAGTGGTCCCTCCAAGGTCAGGAGGCCCCCAATGTCAAAACATCAAATACAGAGACTAGAGAATGTGGTTATTGCTCAGGCCGCCCCATGCTACGCCCCCATGCTCTCAGGTCTGGCACAAGTCAAAAAACAGCATGTAAAGTGTAGGAGAAAAGTGGCCATGAACCGTGGTTTTATTTTAATAGTATACTTGCTCACACTTCAGAGAACTGTGTAGGAGACCCCACTTGGGTCCATGATGATGAACAGCCCTCTCATTTGTGGGGGGCTGTCTACTTTATGGGGCAATACCTGGTGCATTCTTATTTGGTGCCCATCAGTCTGATACAAGGAAAGGAAAGGCTGACAGCCTTTATTCGTCTGTGGACTCAGCACACACCTTCCTAGGCCTACACAGTCCCAGCCTGGAACAGAAATAAGCACTCAACAAAAGTAGGCTGACCTGGACTGAGGCTGGGCAGTCTTGGTCCTGGACTCACAGGTGGTAGGAGTAGAGGCAGGGGGCAGACTAGAGACTCCCACTCAGAAAATCATGCTCTCCGCCAGCGACTGATAGGCTCTCCTCACTCCAAAGCACCCCCCAGGGACAGAGCGACTGCTTCCAGGAGGGCTTCTGCTGCTTCATTGGCCTTAAATCCAAAGTGAAGATTAAACCCATGTTGGCGCATGCTGGACGAACTAGAGGGTGTGCAACTTCCAGGGCATTGTGAGTTGTCCACACTGGAAGTCCTCAATGCAAGAGTGAGGCCAGGGAATCTTGTCTGCAGCCTCCATTCCCTCCCCTGCCCCTGCCCGCTGCAGGCCTCTCCCCAGCTGGGCTCCCCAGGCGCTTGCTCCCTGATGTCCCCAGCCAGGCCCTCCTTTAGGGGTGCCTCACCAGGACTGGTCCTTACCCACTCTTCTTCCTCGCCTAGTGCTCCTCCCATCAACCAGTTCAGCCTAGTCGACAGAGGTGCTGGCTGCCTCTCCCCAGTCACATCTGGGAACCCTCGGGCCCTAAACCAAAGGGCGTGAAGTGAGATCTGTAGGCTTCAGGGCCGAGAAGAGAGGGTGAGACTGATCCAGGGAGAGCTTTTGGTGGCCCCTACATCATACAGGGCGGACGCCTTCAGCTCAGCTGCTAACCAAATAAGCACTCAGAGTCTGTCTGGCTCTGTAACCAGGGTGAGTAGCCCAGCTAGGAAGCTGGGAGAGGGGAGGGACAGAAGCACCTCTGCCTGGTGAAGGAGATGAAGCTAATTAGACGTGTCCAGATTCCTCAGTGGTTACACCACCTCACCCCATCCCTTTGCCCTGCCCCCATTCCCTGTGGTGCGCAGACTTGGCCCCCACTGTCCAAATACTTGGGCAAAATGGAATCTTCCCCTACTTCAATATTTGTACATCTTGGTCACTCCTTAGGACTTCATCATTTGCCATAGATGTTCGAGGGGGAGGGGAGGGATGACAAGACTCCCCTCTAACCTGGATGTTAAATAAATGTGAAGAAATATGTGTCAGGAAGCATAACAAGGAAATCACTTTCTTAGAGAATTGTTTCACTAACCCAGTCTGCAGACAGCTTCTTGAAGGAAGCTCAGCTGGAATTTAGAGCCATATCTCATTCTGTCCTCATAAAAATGCCACTCTGATCCTGGCCATGAACCACTAGTGAGAGCAGGCCCTGTCGACCTCAGCACTGAAATGCAATTACGTTATTCGGGGCTGTATTTGTCACATAATGGATTTTTTTTTTTCAGTGCCTTCAAACAAATACCCTGTCCCATCTTTTTACTTCTCTGGTT